GATGCAAGACACTGGCGGACCACCCACGTTGCGCTAGTAAGCGCTCGGATAGGATTGCGTATCCGAAGTTAAGTTATACGTTCATATTGAGTGTAACAGTATTGCAATAAGCCGCAGTTGTTTTCGATCATGGAAGCATAGTAAATTTTCAAAAAAGTTTTATGGGCTTTTCCGCGTTATGAGATCGGTAGTTTTTTTTTTGTAGAAATTGCCTTTCACAAGCCAAAGATCTTGTTAATGTTGAGTTGAAATAGAAATAGTATTGTCAAAATGTGGACCATGATACAGCCCGACTAGCTCTATTCTGTCCTCATTCGAGTACATTTATACGGTGTCAGTGATCTGGTGTCAGTAGAGTGATGCGGCACAGATATGCTACGACGCCAGCAGATCTTACGTGGATTTGCTTCCGACCTTTGTTGGCCTACTTATTGTACAGGGCGAGTTTCCCAGAGGTCTAATTCCATTGATAAGAAAAATCGTTTGCATTGGGCACTTTTGAGGGCAGCTCGCGCAGGAGCTGATGATGGGAGGAGATGGGAAAGGCAATAGCCTTATTACACTACGCGAAAAAAGAATAGCCGACATATGGATGGGCAACGACGATGCAAACACGCAGCTTCACCTGCTTCCGTATTGAACCTCGCGAGATACTCATACTATAGAGCAAAAACTTCTATTCAAGAGTTTGAGATCGCAGAGAAGGACCATGTGCAAATCACTTTTGTGTTCGTTAAACTATTAGAGAAAAATACATTGACAACATGCGGGATGTTTGTAATTCGTAAAGCTACGTATTACTTCCAGGAACAGAAAGGATTTTGAAGAACTGAAGTTCCACTTAAAAAGAAAAGATTTCAAAAAAAAGTGACTAAGAATTTCATCAAATCGTATTATTCTTGCAGGTCTAGACCTTTCGCCTCACTGGATGCAGGCCTTGCGTGCCTAAACGCTTCTCAACTACAACATTGGGTCATCAACCCCGACTGATTTTGAGGTTCATTTCTTAAAGGCTGAAGTTGGGTAACAATTACCGCCGAGGACTGGTTTTTTGGGCACAACAACTCAGAGAGGATTTTGCTTACGATTCAGTTCTCTCTAGAAGTTAATGACGCCAAAATGTAGACATGGGACAAAAATGGTCGGGTGGAAGTAGTAAGGCTACGCACATTCGCAACTTCCGCGAAGTGACTCAGAGTTTGTTTACGCTTCACCCTATCCACCTTGGAAATGATTTTTTCCG